GCTTATCATCAATAAATGCGCTTGATGAAATATTTATCAAAGAGTATCCTAGGTCGTAATCAAGTTCATTCTTATCATCATTAGGAAGAAACTCACCAAAAGAAAAAAGAAAGTAAATGAATGAAACTATACACAAAAATTGATTTGACGCAGTATATCTAGAAAGCTATTGTATTTATTATAAATAAAAGGAGCTACTGTGTCATATTTTGCTGCAGATTTTTACATTTCGAACACAGTGTAATGCTGACAAATGATTATGAAATAAAATTAAATTTATTTATCAACTTGGGGGGTTGGCGCAATGGTAGCGCGTCCGCCTCCAGAGCGGAAGGTTGGGTGTTCGAGTCACTCACTCCCCACTTCTATTTATTATTTAGGCGATGTTCAGTAATTTTTTTATTCAATTACAAATACGTATTTTTTAAATATTATACTGTTGCTCATTTTTCCATTACGCAAATTATACGAAACACGGGATTTGAGACGTTGACGATAAAACATTCAAGATTGTCCATATATTCGTGACAGTTTTAATAATAGAGAGTCCATTTATTCGTAAAAAGCAAACTTTACAATAAAATAAAATAAAAATAAGTTGTCAAACTGAAATGCAAAACGGTGCGCGCCTCTATATCTTGAAACATCGTTTCTTCTCTTATTATATATTCAAATTAAATATCCTTTAACCTGTCTAACTCATCGCAAAATCATCATCGCTACCTTCGATAACCCTTTGTAGTGGTTGATGATCATCATCATCTCCACTAGTTTCTACCATTGTCACAACCTCTGGTTCGCTGTATGTCATCGATTCATCATCTGCGTGAGACGCGTGCCCTTGGGTTAATCGTTGTGTCTCTGGTTTATCATCAGAATATAAAACTTCACTTCTTCTTGATTCACTATCACCAGCACTACTCTGGTGTAATTCGCTGTGCCTAATCTCACTAAAATACATTTCTTGAGGTTGTAAATCCCCGCTGGAATCATAATTAATATGCCGCTGATTATTCTCACTATCATTACCCATATCATCACCATTCTTCCTTCTTTCATCGTATCCGTGATCTTCATCACTGCCACTAAAATCAAATAATATTTCATTTTCATCGCGACGATACTCATCTTCTCGGAAATTGGGATGACTATATTGGATTATCAGATCGAATATGTCGGGATACAAATTGACTCCTAGATCTGATGCCCAGATGAAATCTATAAATAGAAACAAAATATGTGTTAACAAATTCTCTTGAAATATTAAATTTTTTACTTATATTTATTTCTAAATAAAACATTCCCATTAATTTCCAATAAAGCTCACCTAAATGCTCATAATTGGTGATCTCTCTTATTAGCACTGGTGTAGGTATTTGCTTTAACAACGTCGATATATCACCCAGACTATCCCTCCCGCCATAAAATACCGCAATCGGTGTGGTAATCTGTGGTGTAGGGAAGCATTGACAACTATGATCCAATCCCGAATATTGGGGTAATTCATCATACATCTGGAATGACTTTGATTTGATTATTTGGAACCAATGCTTTATTAAAAGAAAAAGGTAAAAATTTAATGAATTATGTTCACAATTCAACTAAAAAATTCTAATATACTCACCACAATGCATTTAACACTGCTACAACTGTACAAATGATAGTACCCTATAATCTTTTGTATTTCGGTAATGTTGTTACAATCCCAGTCGAATAGGAATTTCAATGCGACGTCTACTATCTTTGTGAATATTGGTGGAGATAAAACCTTTTTCCAAAATAATACCATTGAAAGCATTGCCTTTCTACCAAAAATTAGATATAACACATTCGGTGAGGATTTTATTAGAGCATTACATATTGCGCTTCTAAGACCTGATGAGAATAAGGTAGATGCGATGAGAAATTTGAATAAATGCTTGTGCTATGACATAAAAGCATCAAATTTGAGAAGATTGTTTACCCCCCGGGCTTGTGGCGGGGGCCAGAGCAATAAACAGATTAATTTTCTTATTCATTTTCGGATTAATCGACAATGCGGCAAAACATTGAGCTGATCCTTGGGAGAAACCTATGTAGGTAAGCGATGGAGCTCCCGTTATATCTAATATATACTGAAATTTCAGCAATTCATTAGTAAACGTATCCAAAAGCATTAACCATATTTTTATAATCGCATTTATGCTCACATCAATGGTATCGGGAAGATCGTAAAGCGCAAGTTCGTCCATCGAAAAATCCCAAAATTTTTTTTCACTGGGATCATATT